CTGTATATATGGTCAGCTTTCCCTATATGCAGGTTCAGCATCTGAGGATGGAATTTTTTTTTTTTTTTAGTGGTTCTGGGGATGGAACCCAGGACCCCCCACACCCTCCACCACTGTCCTTTATCCCCATCCCTAGAAAACATCACAAAAATCTCCATCTGGGGCTGGAGTTGTGGTTCAGTGGTAGAGTGCCTGCCTAGCACATGTGAGGCACTGGGTTCCATCCCCAGTGCTACATTAAAATAAATAAATAAATAAATAAATAAGCAGCAAAATAAAGGTATTGTATCCATCTACAACTAAAAATAGTTATTAAAAAAAAAAAAAACTTCATCTGGAGACTTCTGCAGTTTTCTTTCCTTTCCCTACTCTCCCCCTTTGTCATTATTCCCTAAACAATGCAAGTGTTAACAACTATTTACATAGTGTTTAGTTATTAAGTATTCAAGATGATTTAAAGGCTAGGAGAGGATGGGATGATGTGGGTAGGTTATGTTAACGATGTGCCATTTTATTTATTTTTAAGGGGTACCAGAGATTGAACTCAGGGGGCACTCACTCAGCCACTGAGCCACATCCCAGCCCTTTTTTATATTTTATTTAGAGACAGAGTCTCACTGAGTTGCTTAGCGCCTCACTGTTGATGATCCTCCTGTCTCAGCCTAGCCGCTGGGATCACAGGTGTGCTCCACAGAGCCTGGCTCTATGCTATGCCATTTTATAAAACAGATATGAGCATCCTTGGGTTTGGGAATCCGCAGGGGGTCCTGGAATTGCCTCCCCCTCACCCCCAAGGATATCTAGCAAAGCCAGTAATGTGATCAGTGATAGGAGGGGGAAGGAAAAGAGGCTCTATCTAAGCAGATTCCAGGAGAAGCCATTGGTTTGGAGGGTAGGACAGAGTGGGGGACAGGATTAGCATGTGCAAAGGCCTAAAGGCGGAAAAAGGAGCACATTTTTCCAAATCCATAGCACAGCATGGTCAGGTTTGGAAGGAGCCCTGCTGGGGAATCAGGGCTCTGCCATCCCTCTCAGGCAGTCTTCCCCCTCAGCCTTCAACTTGGGGACAGCTAACCTGTTAGGGGAAGCTCCTTGTCAGGGTCATGGAAGCCAGGTGGTCCTCTTCATGTGAATGAAGACAATCCCCAAGCCATTGCATTATCACCACCCTGATTTCACAGACAGGAAACTGAGACTCAGTTTAAGCATTTTTGTTCAAAGTCTGGTAGCTCACTGTTGGGGAATTTAGAATGTTTTCTTTATGCAAATGCTTTTGTTTTAGCAATGCCTCTTACATGGGGGTAATGTACTCAAAGCTTTTTTTAACAGAACCGTCTAAACCTGAGGCATGATTAGTTCTGCTGGACTCCTGGTTCCATCGGTTCATCCTGCAGCACTCAGGGAGCCCAGGAAAGGGCAGTAATTAAAGCCAAAAGGTCCAATGGCCTCTCAAAATTCCCCATGTCTGTTCCGGTTCTCTCTTTGGGGCACCTCCAGATATTATCTTCTGCCAGATAGAGAGTTTGCTTCTCAGAAGTCTCAAGATGTGGGCGGTTAAAAAAATCAGCAGCATCAACAACGACCAAAACCCCTGAGCAGCTCCAACACAAAGGGCTTGAATTTTGAACAAAGGGCAGGGTGAGACCCGAAAGTAGATGCTGACACATCCTCTCTCCAGCTGTGAGCTGGGGGTCTGAGGGCTGCTGCAAAGGTCATCTGTCTCTACATCTTTGGGCAGGAAATGCAATTCAATCCTCTCAGTGACTGATCACTTTGCAAGATTAATGGAATCGTCTCCAACCTAGGTCTCTGTTCTGACAGCACAAAAGGTGCATCAAACTTCTCTCCTCCCCTCTCCTCCCACTCGGCAAGGTCAGCTCATTTCTCCATTTTAAAAGTTCAAAACTTTTTTTTCTCCAGAAAATTTGTCCCTGAGTATTTCTTTGCTAGGTAAAGTCTGCCTTCTGAGGTTAGATCCAAACTTGGCACTTGAGGATCTGAGGACTCTTCTAGACTTTTCTTCTGTCCCTGCTTCATCTTTGAAATTAAAATGAATGCAGAGGGCAAGCTCCACCCTGAAAGGGTTAACTGCCAGCCCTCTGGTCCATCTCTCAGGGATTGTCAGCCAATGACAGTTGAGCACGATGAAGTAATGCCTGGATTTTTATTTCTATTGGCTCACACACTTGTTCATCAATCCAAAGATGTAAGTTTATAAAAGAATCTTTGAACTTTTATGACTCGCTTCCTGGCATTAACCCTTTAATTAACTCACCTGTTATTTCCAAGGTTCTTTCCAATCCTCACATAGGAAGAGAGAGAATATGAAATGCTGAATTTTAAATAGAAAATCAAGCTTCCCAAAATAGTTAAGGCCTGAAGATTGGTCTCTGTATATTATTTTTTTTTTCTTTTTCTTTTTTTTTTTTTTTTAGTTGTAGATGGACACAGTACCTTTATTTATTTTTATGCGGTGCTGAGGATGAAACCCAGTGCCTCACACATGCTAGGCAAGTGCTCTACCACTAAACCACAATCCCAGCCCCTAATTTGTTCTTTCTTACTTTTCCACTTTAATACAAAAGGAACAAATTAAAAAGAAAAGAAAAAAAATAGAAAGCAACCAACCCAACAACAAACAAACAAAAAAGTTATTTGAGAACACAATCACTTTAACAGAAATGTCACCATCTGTTGTCTCCCCAGGATAAAGTTAATAAAAGTCTTATAAAATGGGACAAAACTCTTTTAAGATTTGGTAATGCTTTTTATTTTCTACATCTTTCTTTTTCCTTTTTATTGAGATGCTGGGATTGAACCCAGGGCCTTATGCATTCTAGGCAAGTGCTTTACCTCTAAGCTATTCCTAGAATTCATTTTTGAGTAGGCAACACTTAAAAAAAAAAAATATGAAATTCAAAAGGCACTATAACATGTAAAATGAAATTAACTCAGGCAGGTGTGATGGCGCACCCTATAATTTGAGGGAGCCAAGGCAGAAGAATTGAAAATTCCAAGCCTGGGTAATTTAGCTAGACCTTCAGCAACTGAGAGACCCTGTCTCAAAATAAAAAATAAAGGGGGGGGGGGGCGTGCTGGGGTTGTGGCTCAGTGGTGGAGTGCTTGCCTAGAACATGTGAGGCACTGGATTTGATCCTTACCACCACATAAAAATGAATAAAGGTACTGTGTCTATCTACAACTAAAATAAATAAAATAAAAGGGATTGGGTCGGGGTTTAGCTCAGTGGCAGAATGCCCTTGGGGGATTCATTGCCCCATTAAACTGCCCCCCACAAAGAAAAAAAAAAGAAGTAGTGAAAGGGCTGGGCAAGGTGGCATACACCTGCATCTCAGGATGCTGACGCAGAAGATCTTAAGTTCCAGATCAGCCTCGGCAACTTATCCAAACCCTGTCTCAAAGATTAAAAAAAAAAAAAAAATGAAAATGGAGGTAGTTCAGTGGTGGGGTGCCCCTGGCTTCAATCCCCAGTACTGGTGAAAAAAATAACACTTGAATTTGTATGGTTCAAAATCAGGCAACAGCCATATATACATGTGGTAAAATCTGACATTCTACTAAAGAATAGTTCCTTTTAATTTTTCTCCAGTTCTACCCGGCACCCCGCAACCTTTTTTGGTCTTTCCAAAGGAAATTCTACACATATAATAGTTATCTTGCTGATTATTATTATTATTGTTATTTTAGTGATGGGAATAGAGCCCTGGGCACACTAGGTATGTGCTCTACTACTGAGCTACATTCCAAGCCCTACCTTCTTTTTTTTTTTTTTTTGAGATGGAGTCTCACTAAGTTATAGAGGCTGGCCTAGAATGTGTGATCCCCCTGCCTCAGCCTCTGAGCAGCTGGGATTATAGGTGTGAGTCACCAGGCCTGGTCTGTCCCTGGAATGTATGTCTGGAAGTGGCTACCCAGGTCTTAGGATTCCTGCTTCATCACCAATTATTTGTCCTTGAGAGATTTGGGCAGGTGGGCCAGTCTAATATCCACTTGTATCTTCAGGCTCCCATACAGTACCATGTTCCTGGCAGGCTCTCAGAGTAAGTGGTTTAAAGGCTAACATTATAGGCACTCACATTGTACCAGATGTCCTCTTCCAGGGGTTACTGATATTAGTAACTTCTTTCCCGTATGGACCTTTCACTCATTCCACGAATGTTTCCCGGAAGCCAAATCAGACCTTGATGTGTATATATAGCTTAGTAAGCACATTAAGACAAATGTTGGAAAACACTCTGGGGCAGTTTTAATTTTTTAATTAAAAATTGGACTGCAGGTGTAGATCAATGGTGGAGCAGCGATCAGCATGCCTGAGGCCCTGGGTTCAACCCTCAGAACATGCACACATCACATACACATGCACAATTTAAAATTCAATTCCTTGACAGGTTCAGTGGTACAAGCAAATAATCCCAGTGACTAGGGAGGCTGGCCTCAGCAACTTAGTGAGACTCCATCGCAAAATAAAAATGAAAAAGGGTTGGGGATGTAGCTTAGTGATAAAGTGCTCCTTTGTTAAATTCCCAGTACCAAAAATAAATAAATATTTTAATTCTTTAAGCCCAGTATCCATATTTCAGGGGCTCAATAGCAAGATGTGGCTAGAGAAAACAATTGCAAATGTACAATATTTCCATTATCTGGTTGTATGGCACAGCCCTGCAAGGGGCTTACAGAGTGGTCAGTCCTTGGGCCCTGGATTCCTACAAGGTCTGGGTTCAAATCCTGTTACGGTTATTTCACAGCTGTAAAATTTGGCCAAGTAATTGACAATTCTTTGAGCCTCAGCTATAGAAGTAAGGAATTATACCATTGCTCCTCCTTAAGAGGAGCAAGGGGGCTGGGATGTGGCTCAAGCGGTAGCGCGCTTGCCTGGCATGCGTGCGGCCCGGGTTCGATCCTCAGCACCACATACAAAGATGTTGTGTCCGCCGATAACTAAAAAATACATATTAAAATTCTTTCTCTCTCTCTCTCCCTCTCTCTTTAAAAAAAAGAAAAAAAAAAAAAAGAGTTTTGGCAAGCATTCAAAGAGATAGCAAATGTGAGGGACTTTGCTTGAAGGCATATTAAATTCTCAAAAGTCAGGAGCTTCAGTGTCTTAATAGCCCCAAATCCTGGATTCTGATTTCTGAGGGCTCCATCCAGAGTCAGCCTCTTCCTTGGGAAGTTGTTAGTCCTTCTCCAGCCCCTGCCTGGAGTATGCCTGGAAGTTTAGCTGTTTCTTCTTTTGTCTTTCCTGTCTTCTCAGTCTTTGGGCACAGAGCTGCACCATCAACCTTTGAGGATGGAAGAAATGAATGAATGGGGATAATAGGCAGGATTTGACTACTGTTGCAAGAACACTCCCGGAGAGTCCAGGAAAGTCATTATTATTTAATTTCCAATGCAATTGGCCTGGTGTTTTCCTACAAAAAAAGTTCATCTTTTAAATAAGCACCTTCAGCTTCTGTGCCCTCCCTCACCTACTCTCAGCTCCTCAGGGACAATCAGCCAAGCTGGAGCTCAAGGGTCTTGGCCCTTCCCCCTTTGGCCCAAAATAACCTCCTCCCCCACTTTCAGCAAATGCTTGGAATTCTTTCAACAGGAGGACAAAGCCTTTCATCTGCCAATTACTGATAAAGAGAAAATGCAAATATGCTGGGGAAGGTGATCCATCAAGGGCCCAACATTTATGGAGTGACCACTTAGGGCCCAGCAGCAGGATAGGCATTCTGGGGGAGTCAAAGGGGAACAAGCCCCTGGCTGGCCCATTCTTCTCTGGGGTTTGCGGTTTCCTCCAGGTTTGTAAAGGGAGGGGATTAAATTAGGTGACTAGTCAACCCCTTCCTGCTCTGACAGGCCAGGAACTCCCCATAGAGGTGATATATAGGCTTAACTGTTTTCACACTAAGGTGGCTGCCCCCCCCCCCCATCATTTTCCTAGTGCCAGCTTTTGGAGGGACACCAGGAAGCCACATGAGGAGAGAGGAATCCCAGGGAAAAAAGGTGAAGGACGAAGATCCTGCATCCTACTTGCCAATTTTGTTTTATTTCACTTAATTCACTTCTCACCACCCTCCAGCCCAGAAGCCCTCCTTTGAGTGTTTTGGTTTTGTTTTTTCATTATGTGGGAGCAGTGACCCTGGTTAATATCAGAAAAGGCATGTGATAGACAAGCCAGGTTCCAATTGGAACCCCAATAGCCCACAGGAAAACTGTATGATCTTGGGTAAAAGTGGCTTTGCCTTCCTGAGTCCCAGTTTCATCATTTGCAAAATAGGGAATTTCAAGATGGTTTCCCTGAAAGGGTTCTCTCTTTCTCAAGACAGAAGCAAATAAAATAGTCCCACTTCTTGATAGAGGGCTAAAGAGCCCGCCACATACAAAGGGCTGTCGATTGGATGTAGCAGAACCAACATAGGCCATTTCAGTTTGGAGACAAAAGTTTGGTGTTTGCTAGCTTAATACCTACTTTAAAAGATTTTTACAGCTAGTGAACACAGAGTAAAACAAACTTTAAAGATTAGTCTTTGGGGTCACATGAAAAAAACAAAACAAAACAAAAACTACAAGAATGAAATGACAGTGAATTAAGGTGAGTGAGGGACGCATCCCCAGGTCTAATGGCCTGTTACATGGGAATGACTGAAGGCTGAGTAGTCATCCAGTTTCATAATTTCTCTGAGCCTCAGTTTCCCAATTTGCAAAATGATCTGCTTCAACTAGCCCACAGGATTAGGGGCAGAAATAAAATAGCAAGTGGACACCAGCTGTGAGCACCTACTATGTCCCTTATTGTAGTCCAGGTGCCATGTCATCTTATCAGGAGATTTAACCCCTAAGACCAGGCCTTGCAGGACACAAGAGTTGGTCTGGAGTAAAGCGTTTCTCCGTGTTCATGATGAATTACAGGACAACTCTGGAGGTTGTCACAAGCATTGGGAAGGGGGACATGGGAGAACTCCCGGACCTAATGACATTCTATATATGCTTAGAGGGTGGCCACATCTCCGCTAAAGTCATATAGAATCAGTCCAGGTGCGCTTAAGGTTTTCGTATCCCATCCCAAGAGCCACATGCCTTTCCACAACTCTTCTCCTGTCAACAACCAACCAGGGCTTACCTTTCGCTTGTTTGCGAGCTGCGTTAGGAGACGCTAGATCCGATTCTCTGAGTATTTCCTTCCAGAGCATCAATTTTCTCCACTGGGCGGGCGCAAGGACCTTAAAAAAAAAAAAAAAAAGTCCAACTTCTCTTTCAGGGATCGTAGGCTAGTGAAGAACTCCACGGAGGCGAGCAGAATGAATGAATGAAAGGCAACGTCTTCCGGTCACCTGCGGTCTGAAAAGGCTCCGATCTGGCTGTATTTCCTGTACCTGTGTGTGTGTGTTCTTATCTTTCAGTCCGAGAGTTTGAAAGTATTGAGTCCATGCAGATATGGAGCTGTACTAATTTTATTTCTGAGCCCATCAAATGCGTCCTCCATTTGGCGGGTTCGCAAATGGGGGTCTAAACAGGGTTGTCCCTCCTCCCCAAAAAGACATGCAGTTACATA